CTTGCCAGGCAGGCACTTTGCCGCTGAGCTACATCCCCAGCCCCCTTATTTGCATTTTTAAAGGCCAGCTATTGAACTATTAACTTGCTAGCCTCTGTATCACTTGTGATCTTCCCACTAGCTTGCAGTAAGTGTGCTGCAAAATCTTGAGAAGGTTCATCAGAACCCTGATGAATGGAAGTCAAATCAAGTTATGTCTCCCGCTTTGAAGGAAGTTCCCTCCAAGCCCTTGTGGCAACTATTTAAATTTGTTCATATACTTGTAATTCAAAAGTAAGTTGAATATTTGTGGCAGCAAAGGCACCTTCTCTGGTTAACATGTCTTTTGTAATGGCTATGTTGTGAGTGGCATTGCAAGTGGCCTGATCAGAACACAGTTCAAAAAAATTTCCTTTCCACAATAAATAATCCCCAGTACTTAAACACGCTAGTTATTCCTTTCCAATTATTTGGGGCCATAATCTATGATCCTACAAATTCTATTAAACCTAAGGTAAAAGGGGCCATAGGGTCATAGGTATTGACAGCTTGTTTTAATTATTTCAAGGTCTTAAAAGGTACAGCTTCACGAAGATGTATAACTTGTCCCAGATTATTGGGAACTTGAACTTCAGTAACAGTGTGGACATGCTGAAAACCGTCCATGGACTCCCTCACCTATTTGGCTTCTTTTAGCACAAATTGTAAGGGAGAGCAAGAAAATGGCTCTACTCTGAGAGGCAGAAATTCCAATCTTCAGCAAATTTTTCTGAGCTGAAAAGACAGGAATTTCCACTTATAGTTCAGTTAAGGTTATCAGGGTGGCTATTATTCTGCCATCTTTTTCCCCACTGAGGACTTGAATTTAAAATAGTGCCCTGAGCCAATCCTTTGTGATCATCCCAACAAACTTACAACCATTGAAGCACTCCCTAATGCAAATCCACATAAGTAAAGTAAATACAGCAATCAAGAATACAACAAACATTTCTATATACATCTGTGGTTCTTGAGAATCTGTTTGCCCCATGTTTTACACCTGATGATATCAATATCAATACGCCTCTCAGATTAATATTGATGCTATCAATACACTTCTCCCCCTTTCGTGTGCACAATGAGAAGTGTCCCCTCACCCACTATTTCTCCTTACCTCGATCCCTGTTTGGGTGCCACATGCTTCAGCCTGTGTGGCTCTTGAAGTTCCCCGGGAAAAGGACAGTGAGAGAATGCAGAAATAAAGATAAGAGACAGAAAGACAGAAAGCTGACGTGAGGTGGAGCCCTCTCTCCAGATGGGAGGAAAGGAGCTGCTCAAACACTATAGTCCATTTATTTATACATTCGACAAGTTGGTGTCACGTGACACCCCCTTTGCCTACCAACCCATTGCTTGGATTGTCTTGGGGCTTGGTGTTCTCTGGACTGAAGCAGTTTGTTCATGTGGCTTGCCTCAGGAGCTCTTTGTTCTCTGGCCTTGCCTTGTTCCTGCACATGTGATCAATTTCCAGCTTCAGCATCTTCCTACAAGGAAACACTGCAACCTTACCAAAAAGTACTTCTGCAAAGACATCTTCCTAAGGACTATCTATCCAAACTTGGACTAACATTACCCATTATTAATCATTGTGGCCAAAGACATTTTTTTCAAAATATCTAAGATAATGCTCATTTTTACCTTTAAAAACTTCCCCTTGCCTCAATCTCCTTGAATGTGCTCATTTTTCTTTGGAAAAAATCTCTGATCTGTTTTTAGATTGACATGACCAACCAAATGACAAAATGCTGCCAATACTGTGTCTGTAAACACTGATGGGAGTAGGGCACTATTCCAAAACGGGCCCTATGTTGACTACAGGAAATGGAGTCAAGTGGCAACACTTCTGTGGAAGGCTACTGGGGAGCAAGTGGCATTAGGGTACAGAAAGACTAGGGACCGGGACCTTACTGTGGCCTAGAAAGAGGGAAGGATAAGGTAGGAATGGACAACACTGCTCTAAATGGGACCATTAAGGAAGACAGGATTGGAGAGGCTTAGACAGTTCCAGGGAGACAGGAGCCCTGGAAGCATCAGTCCTGGGCTCGATTAGTGCAACCACTGGGGAGAAGCTGCCACAGGGATGCCTACTGCTCTGAGTAGCAGCACTCTTATCTGAAAATGTAAGAAAACCCCTGCAGCATCAGGATCATTAGCAGTCGTATCTCACTGTGGCTGATGGAAGTCCAAAGGGAGTTAACAAAAGGAGTGTCTCATGGTGTGGGGAGGCTGCAAATCCACCCTTGGGGGCTGTTTAGAGACAAAGAAAGGCTCAAATCAAGCCACGGTGAAGGGATGGCAAAGGTACCCCTATGGCTCCATCCCACAACTGTGCATAAGCACTGGGGCTTGCACCACCCATGTAGGAAGCAGATGCTGCTTCCACAACAACCAGAGCAGGAAAGAGGTGGTACCGCCACCACTCAGTTGTAACCTATGGGTCCCCTGCTCTTTCCCTCCTGGGGCTTCATTCAGAGAACAGTGGGTACACCTCATTGGTGAATCCAAATTTACATGCCCTTACCCTAGCTCCAAGGAAACTAGGAGAGCCCAAACCTGACGTGTTACACACTCCTGTCATCAGAGGTGGACTTGGCTTCATAAGGTACCAACTACACAAAATAAAAATAATTTCGTGTCCACCAGGTTCACCTTAATGACTCAACAGCATCCCGCTGCCCTTAGCATGAAGTTACATCCTCCCCATCCCACAGGGCTCCAAACTGCCCTACCTTCTGCTCATTAATCCACTTTTCAGCACTTTAATGTGAAGCTCTCCTCCTTCTGAGGGCCAGGGTATATGTCACACCCTTGGCATTTTTAAAAAATTGAAGTGAGTATAGCAGAAAATGTGCCCCCACCCCATCAGTCCCTGTAGTTTCTTAGGAACAGCTGGTCACTGTGATGCATAGCTGGCCACTATGATGCATATTGTAAGAACCCATCAAAGATAACCAAGTACTCTGCTTACTGCTTACAATCCCATAAAAACCTCCTTCCCTGAGCTTTCAAGGCCTGATATTTTGGGAATGATCCCGATCAGTGACCATCAATGTAAACAAATCTGCCTCCAAGTCCTGGGTGTCCTTTCTGGGTGTCCTTTCTGGGTGTTTCTGTGGCTGTACCAAGAGATCATTAGCCATCCAATGTTTTGAATGCCTTTATAGGCAAACTGGAGCCCAATGTAAACAGTAAATCAAAACATAATCTTAGCCAATTGAAAAACACCAACTAACCCCAACTAGGGGCTTTCCACCCAATCATACCAAGAAGGCAGGTGCCTAACTGTAGCCAATCAAGTAGTTTCTTCATCATTTCCACATTTAACTTAAAAAGCTCACTGCTTATACTGCTAAAGCAAAGGTCTCTTAAAGCAAAGACCTCTCCCAGTTTTGAGTGCCGTCTTTTTCATTAACACTCAAAACTTGTTAAAATTGATTTAAGTTTTTAACGAACTGTGACTCTCTTCACATGCAGTCTTCACTCTTGGCCTCAATCTTTCCCCTTCAGAGAACACTGCCACAGCTTCTTTAGGGCCCTCCTTTACTGGCCTGCTCTCCTCTGCAAGAACACTCAGTTTGCAGGAAGAGATTATATATGGACATGTTTGTCAATCCTCTCAGAAGTGCCATGAATGCCTAGAAGTTTTCAGTTGCTCATTAAATTGTCACTGTCACGAAAGGGAGAGATTTTCACGTTTTAGAATAACCAAAAAAGCCACTGTTTGTTGCATAAACCTAGTCACTCTAATACTTGCTTTCTTACCAAGTGTGCTATTGGACTTTCAGATGAACTGTTGTTTACTACTGCTGCACAACCCTATCACATACATTACTCAGCAGTCCTGAACCCCAGGCACATACCAGAAGTGTCTTCCCCCAACTAAGGAGACAAGCAGTATCACCCCTCAAGCACTTTCACAATCTCCAGCTCAAGACCATCCCAATTCAAAGATCAGTGAAATTTCAAAACTATCATCCACCTCTAAAATATTTTTAAGCCCTCAACAAGTCCTAGCCTCCCTGATGGAGCACTTACCCTCTCATTCTGGATGTCTCCCATGGGTGCTCAGCAGGGATGTTTTCCTGCCCTTTCATCCCAATCCTATCCCCAGATGACCCCTTCCCTGATTTTTCCACAGCAGAGGTAAAGATCAGTTGCAACACTTAATAAAATTTATTGAAGAAAAACATTAACAAAACATTGAAAAGAAGGGGATGTCACCACAGTCAGACCCCTTACAACCACTACAAGCCACAGGTGCTGCCCGCCCCAGGACTCCTGACAAGGTATCTCATCCGCCTCCCACGCTGGGGCTCTCCAGCCATGTTGTCCCTCCCTGAGGAGCCCAGACCTGCCTCTGGCCAGTACAATGGCCTCTGACAATACTCATTCACTTTAGGGAGTTCTCTATGGGGCTGAGCCACTGTGGAGTGGTTCCTACACAATGCCCAGCAAAAGTAATCCCAAGACATCAGAAAGCACAAGGAATGATCAACACACCACAGAAATTAAACAAATAACAACATGGGTAGAACATCAAAGCAAATTCCCGCCTTCTCCCTCCATCTCTGGTCCAAAGTTCTTCCTGTCCAAAGTTGTAGTCCCGAACATGGTCACAGTCACAGTCACAGTCAGTCACAGTGTGACTCCATCATCATCATCCATCCTTCCCTCCTCCTTCTGCAAGTGGGCTCAAGGTCTCTGGACAGGAACTGCTCAGATGAGAATACACACAACTCCATGAGGATAAGCCCAGATGTACTCGTAAAAAGTAGAGGTTGAGCTTGCTACGCTGGACAGGAACAGGCAGGGCCTTGGCTGGCACAGGAGGAAGCTCACAGCAGGTGCCCAGGCCTGTAGGTGGAAGGCTGGGTGGGCAGGGTGAGCCAGGACCTCTGCTCAGGGTTGACACACACCTCACAGCTTTGCCCAAGAACAGTGGCTAGTGTGATGGGTGTTTGCCTGCACCATAAGTCACTCGAGGCCCTAATAGATAGGAGTGGGCTTCCCGGGACACAAAGTGGTCTGCGTCAGGGACAGCAGCAATGAATGGAGGAGTGATGGGGCAGTCCCCTCTTCTGAGAGAGCCAGGCAGCTGGCACACTTAAGATGGCCTCTTTTCCATAGTGTACCCATGGTCACCTGAGTCATTTGGAAGGGGAGATGGTGGTGGCCAGAGTCCCTGGGGAGTGTAAAGATGCGGGAGTTTGGTTGAGGCTGGCCAGGCCTTTCCCTGGCTTCTGCTCCAGGTGCAGGGTCACGAGTGGCACTGGCCTCGCCCCCCCTGACCCAAGGGCCCTGCTGCCTGAGCAGAGAGGAGGCCCCTGGGCTTTCTGAGCCTATTCTCTTGAGGAGGACTTGGGGTAGCTCATCTCCCCAGCCCCATCTTCGTTTGCCAACTCCTCCAGGACAGCCTTGAGCCCGCTCAGCATGGGCTCCTCAACCTCCTCCTCTCCTGCCTGGGCAAGGCTCTCTGGCCCACAGCCAGACCCTCCTGGGCCTGACACAGAAGCAGTGCCCACCAGAGCTGAGGTGGCAGCCCCAGGGGCATCAGAGGGCCCTTCCTGGCCTAGGCCTTCAAGATCAACAGCACCTTCATCTTCCTGAGTGGTTGCTTTTGGGACATCATCGGTATCAGAAGCAGCCTCAGCAGCACACTCAGGATCAGCAGCCTCGCCGCTGGCCTCTTCCTGGGCTGGGGAGGCCTGCGACGCACATTCCAGGACAGGGGCAGACCCTGCAACCTCTCTGTGGGAAGGCCCAGCCTCGGCGGCCTCTCCTCCCAACTCTTCACCCCTGGCCAAGGCAGCCTCCCAGGCCTCGGTCTCGCGCACCAGCTGGAGCAGTGCCTGGAAGCCAGGGGGCCGCCTCTCCAGGCGCATCCTTCTCAGCTTTCTCTGCAGAGTCCAGTTTGGCCGGGCCCGCATCAGCACCTGCCGGGCTCGCATCTGGTCTGCAGTGGCTGGGTGGATGGCCCTCTTCTCCACAGCCGCCTGCAGGAGGCCTTCCAGGCGTATCACATAGGCTAAGAGAGTCTCTTGAGGCCACTGTGAGCAAATCAGAAACTTCAGCCGTGCGGCCGCCCGGATCTCCTTATTCCCAAACACCTGCACCAGCGCAGCCAGGCAGTCCTGCGCAGGGGTATCTGGGTGCTCTTCCAGGAGCTCATAAATGACATCCAGGGCAGGGCCTTCCAAGCACTCCACCAGCCTTCTCCTCCTCTCCCTCTCCGATACATGGCGCCACAGGTACAGCATGTCGTTGGCATGATTCAGCCAGCTCTCGAAGGACTCCTCCTCAGGATCTGCCTCTTCCATGCCAGAAAAGGGTCTCAGTTCCTGGTACGCCATGTTTTCCAGGATGGGTTGCAGGGCCTGGCCCCAATGCTGGGCTCCTGCTCTATGTGTGGCTGTGGCCACACCCCAGGCCCCTTCTTCTCCTGGAGGGCCTGCCTCACCTGCAGCTCCTGCCATACCCACAACTCCTACAGCACCTTCAACTCCTGTGTCACCTGCAGCTCCTTCCTCATCTGCCTCATCTGCAGTTCCTGCTTCACCTGCAGCCCCTGCCACACCTGCAGCTGCTGCCACACCTATAGCTCCTGCCATACCTGGAGCTCCTTCCTCATCTGCACCTCCTACTGCTCCAGGTTCACCTGCATCTCCTGCCTCACCTGCATCTCCTGCCTCACCTGCATCTCCTGCCTCACCTGCATCTCCTGCCTCACCTGCATCTCCTGCCTCATCCGCAGCTCCTGCCTCATCCGCAGCTCCTGCCTCACCCGCAGCTCCTGCCTCACCCGCAGCTCCTGCCTCACCCGCAGCTCTTGCCACATCTGCAGCTCCTGCCTCACCTGCAGCTCCTGCCATACCTTCAGCTCCTGCCATACCTGCATCTCCTGCCTCACCTACAGCCCCTGCCATACCTATTCCTTCCTCACCTGCAATCCCTACTGCTCCTGGCTCACCTGCAGCTCCTGCCTCAGCTGCAGCCCCTGCCTCACCTGCAGCCGCTGCCTCAGCTGCAGCTCCTGCCACACCTGCATCTCCTGCCTCACCTGCAGCCCCTACTGCTCCTGCCTCACCTGCAGCCCCTACTGCTCCTGGCTCTCCTGCAGCTCCTGCCTCAACTGCACCTCCTGCTGCTCCTTCCTCACCTGCATCTCCTGCTGCTCCTTCCTCACCTGCATCTCCTGCTGCTCCTGGCTCTCCCCCAACTCCTGCCACATCTGCTGCTCCTGCCTCAGCAGCAGCCCCAGCTGCTTCTGGCTCACCTGCAGCTCCTGCCTCACTTGCAGCTCCTGCCTCACCTGCAGCTCCTGCCTCACCTGC